CATTTGGATTGCTAAGATGCGGTGGGTATTGCAGCACTTACAAAGGTGTTGGGGAAATGGGATGTTTCTCTGTTCTGGAGGAGGATGTAAAACTTCCTTCAGATGATTGGAAGCTAGTCAGTGGCTAAGAGAAGGGTATTTTCCAGAGCAGTTAGGGGTGATAGGTGCAATTATTGGATGATAGATTCATTCGTCCATCATTCTGCACCAGATCTCGGGGACGGGCAGAACAAATAAGAATCAGTTCCTGTCATAATACAAGGCTTAGGTGAGCTCAACAATGCTAGTTTGCTTTGTAAGTTACTCGGGTTCCGTTCTTGAATGTGACCAAATGAAAGCAAGATAGTAAAGCAAATATTACTGTCTTTCACAGAAATTTCTGTACTGAGGGAGAGAACTGAGTGATGACTTGGACTCTGATTTCCAACTTGTGAGTATCCATAATTCGACCTTTTGAAAAACGCAGTCTTCGTGTACGGCGATGTATGTAAAGCACATTCCTGAGATGTTGCTAACATGCCTTGGCAGGTTGCTTGTTTGTGGGGAGATTTTTGCTTTGTGGAGCTCATGAATCTCCTGGTTATTCGCAGTAATCAGAAGCTACTAATGGGGAAAAGTCTAACTTTAGGATCTTATTTTTAAAAAAAGTAGAAATACGGAAGGGCAACTGAGGTAAACTTTTTCAAGGAGAGGAATGATTGAGGGGAAAGTGTCTCAACCTTTTATGGACTGTGACAGCGCCTCCCCCCTTCCACGCCCCCCCCCCCCCAACTTGTTTCCTTTCTTGTACCCTGATCCCTTGCTCTGGCTGCTTCTTGGCTCTCCAGATTCCAGTCAGACTTACATGAATTTCACCTGGGGCCCCCTTGGACTATCCTGGGAGCACTCTGGAGGCCATATTATGGCCCCCGTTGAGAAATACTGGGTTAAAAGATTTGTTATATTTACATTTATGGGGACTCTTTCTTCTTTCTGCTCTGTATTCTAAAGGCACTACACTAGATAATCTTGGGGTCAGCCAGATAGCCCTGTATTTGTGATTTATCCTCTGGAGCAAGAGCCTTTTCCCTCCTTATTTCATGAGTTTTTCCTCTTTCCTGCCCCTTTCCTGGCAACTGGCCTGGTCCCTGTACTTCCAGAGAACACGGAGACTGTCTTTTAGGATCCAGCTTATTTCCGTTAAATGAGTTTGTAGATTTCTTTTTTTTTTCCCTCTTTCTTTTCCTTCCCTCGAATTTGCCTCTCCCTTCTACCTTAGACGAAGACCTTAATTAGCCCTCAGTTGATTAACCCCTTGTTTCAGCCACCTCTAGTGACTCCTTCCCTTCGAGCACAGACATCCTTCACTCAACTCTCCTTTCTCCTGGGGGAAAAATGAGTGATTGTCTCGTGGCCTTTTCATGTCTGAACACCACTGTAAGCTTTTCAGAAAAACTTTCAGTTTACATGAGTGTGTGTGTCTGCTTGCTTGAGACACAATTCCTGTACCAAATCAGTCTCTCAGAAAGCGGACAAGTCTGTAGTATCGTATTCAAACTGGTGTGACCATGAAGTACACCGTAACCAGTTCTAGTAGCTTTCCTCAATCCTGCCTCCGTTCACATTTCTAAAGCGTCTGTCACTGTGGCCTACACTCTGGCTTAAAGCTGCCATTCTCCTCAGCTTGGGGGTGAGAGAGGACCCCCACCCAGCAGTACTCAGGGCCTGCTCCCAGCTTGGTACTAGAAAGTCACTCCCAGCGGTTCCTGGCTACCATGTGGTGCTGGAACCCTGACCTCCTGCACCTTGATTTCTTACACAGTTCAGGACTCCCAGTTCCATATTTTCTTGACACTCTTGCTCCTTTCCATTCTGGCTTCCACATGTTCTTCACACTGTGCCAGGCCTGTGCTTGTCTCACGCTCAGCCGTCCATTCCCAACCTTGAGCTCTCATTTGTTACTTCTGTATAGGGCCAGATTTCATCTGCAGTGAAAACTTCTGGGGCAATGGGCGTGTCCTGCTTCACAAGTGGCGGGTTCACCTGATGAAAGTTCATAAGCCATAGACTTTAAATCGAGCATTTGGCTTTCCACGTGCTGTTAGGAATTAGGGATGGTTTTGCTTTTGACAGGTACACCCACGGAGAGACAAGTAGGCCTGGTGCTGAGAGATTCCGATCTAGAGGAACTGGAGTGCTTCTGGCTTGCTAGGTAGTCGAATCTGATTTCTTTCCCCAACTTATTTGGGGGGTGCATTTAGGCCATGCTTAGGACACTCTGCAGTACTGGAGATGGAACGTTTCTACTGAAGAAAGAAATTGGAAAATCACCACTGGTTAAAATACTTCAGTGATGAATGTTACAGGCCAGGTCCTCGGGTGAAGGCTCAAATTCCAGGCTAGACCCTAAGGATCTTGCCTCCGTTCACGTTTCTAAAGCGTCTGTCACTGTGGTCTACACTCTGGCTCCGACCAGTGTTGCCGTGTCGGAGTCACTGCCAGTACCCACCCTCCTCCCTTACTTCTGTCATCTAACAGAAGGTCTTTCCAAAGATGGAGCGTCAGTCCTGGACCCTACCATGGCGCTTGGGCCTTAAGACTCATTCCTATGTAAGAGGGAATGGTAAAGGGGAAAAAAGTAGTAACTTAGGGCAAGAAACTGGCCAAGGGGCTAAAAAAAGATAGGAAGTACAGCAGAGAGGGCACTTGACTTATACACAGCCTAATCCTGCCAAGAGTGACCCCTGAGCACTGCTGGGTGTCACCCCAAAAGCATAAGAAAGGAAGGAAGGAATCAGCCCATCCCAGCTTGGTCAGTATAAGAAGAGAAGCCTGGTCACTCCCCCACAGCAGGGGCACTGTGCATGAGGACACTTAACCTCTCTTTCCCCAAACTCCAGTCTGTTCCAGAAAGCACCACACTAGCCCAAATCTAGAGGCACCGTCATCTTCCTGGGACCCTTCACAGTTGGCGAGATCTCGAGAAACAAGGGAACCTGGTGCACCTAAGAAGATGCTAAGGACTACAATGCCTAATACCGTGCAGTGTCTGAATTAGATCCTGGAACGAAAAGGGATTTGAGAGAAAAGCTCAGAATCCAGGTCAAGGCTGTAATTTACTCAGCCATGTGCCAGAATTAATCCCTTGGCTTTGGTAGCTGTTCCACAGTTCCAGGAGTTTAACATCAGGTTTGCTGTATGAATGATGTGCAGAAATTCTTTACACCACCATCCCCATGCTATTTAAAGAGCTACAGATATTTTATTATGTTTTTTTTGTTGTTGTTTGGGGGCCATACCTGGTGGTGCTCAGGGCTTGCTCCTGTCTCTCCACTCAGGAATCACTCCCAAATGGCTCAGGGAACCATGTGGGTGCCAGGGATCCAACCTGGGTCATCTGTATGCAAGGCAAGAACCCTACCCACTGTGCCATCTCACCAGCCCCTGCTACAGTTATTTTAAAATGAAAGAATGGGGCCAGGGCAATTTCTCAAAGGACTGAAGTGCATGTTTTATGTGTGGGAGGCCTCGGTTTGGGCCTGGCCCACGGGGGGTGAATTCCAGGTACTCTGGAGCACTGATCTAGGAGGAGGCCCCAGCTACCTACTTGATTTGTGGGTATGACCCCAAAATCAAAAGTGAAAATAATGAGTCAAATGAAAGATATTTTGATCTGTATAAAAGGTATCCTCCTAGAAGGCATTTTCCTGTACTGATGGATCTTTTCCATCCTATTCTTCCCCACTTCCCTATTGGCAACTTTTTTCCCTCAGATGGGTTGGGGGTGGAGTCCCGCAGAGGGAGAAATTATGAACCGCTTGTATTTAATGTGGCGTTGATGAACTGGTCAACCGTTGCCTAGTCAGTCGGAGGCGTAGATTCCTTCAGGAAGGCTTCTTTTCTTTGGGTGCTTCCTTCTTCCTGGGGTAGGAAATGAGATTCCCTTTCGCGCTCTCGGCGCCGCTGCACACCACCTCCCAACAGAGATGAGGTGGCCCCCCAAAGGCTAGACGACCTGGGGTGGCCTTGGCGCCAGAGCCTGGCCAGCAGGCGGCAGCTTGCTCACTGCAGAGACTAATCTTGCTGCCGCCGCCCCTGCAGCCTCACTGCTGCTCTGTTTGGAAACCCTGCTCTCGCGTCAGCCCCCAGTTGAGGTGTTCTGGCGGCCTCCCGTTCAGAGGCCTTCTGTTTCCTATTTTCTCAATGGTGTATCTTTTAGAGACTCTTTACACTGAAGGAGAGGATGAGGAAACAAGCAGTTCAGAGGACTCCAGCCTCCACGGCTCCCCCAGATCCCTACACCTGTCCTGATTTCTCTTACTCACTTCTGTGACTTGTGCTAATGTGGCTTTATCCACTCCAGTCCCTTTCTTTTTTTTTTGGGGGGGGGGGTGTTTTAGGGCCACACCTGGCGGTGTTCAGGTTACTCCTGGCTCTACACTTGAGAATTACTCCTGTCAGGGCTCAGGGGGCCATATGGAGTGCCTGGGATTGAACCCAGGTTGACCACGTGCAAGGCAAGTACCTTACCCACTGTATCTCTCTCAGGCCCCCTTCTGGTGCCTTTTCTAAGAGGAAGTGTCTATATGGAATTAAGAGAACTAGAAAGTAGAACATGAGCTTTTTGAGAGGGGGAGGGACAAGCCTGGGATTTCCGGAAGGACCAGAGTCTAGACCAGCACAAAGGAACTGAGCCCAGGGAAGAAAGAAAGAAAAGAACGTCAAACATTCTATTTCAGTTTCTCAAAGTTGTGCTAACCCTTCAGACTCGTGAGGGGGCGGAAATACTCTTCCTTTTCAAACTACCCAGGAAAGTGGGCTCAGAAGACTGCGAGTTACAGTTTGGGTTTAGTTGCCTTGGAGGTGGGCCTGGGCCCTCACTGCCAACCAGTCTTGTTTCCAGGGCAAGTTTTGGTCCCGAATCAGGCGATGCTGGAGTCACAGCTCGTCTGTAATGGTCGTATTTGCTTACTGTGGGGTGCCCCTTCCTCTCACGCCACTGTTGCCTCTCTTTCTCCTAGGAGCTTAAGAGTTTCTGAGCATCTTTTGGAAAGAACAAATCTACTTCAATAAATGAAGGAGAATAAGGAAAATTCAAGCCCTTCAGTGACTTCGGCAAACCTGGACCACACAAAACCATGTTGGTACTGGGATAAGAAAGACTTGGCGCACACACCCTCGCAGTTAGAAGGACTTGATCCGGCCACCGAGGCCCGGTACCGCCGAGAGGGGGCGCGCTTCATCTTCGATGTGGGCACACGTCTGGGACTGTATCCTGCCTCGAGTAGGGTCCCCACCCCGGGGCCGGCAGCTCACCCTGTGCAGCAGCGGCTGTCCGCATTGGCTCTGTCGGTTAGGCTTGGCTGGCCGCTTCTTGGGTTTTCCCTTTCCTGCTTGACATTTAATTCTGTCAACTTAGGGATATCACACAGGTGGTGGAGGCCCCGGGGTCTAAACCCAGCACTGCACGTCCACCACCAACACTGCCAGCATCCCTGTGCTTTTAAGACTGTAAATAAAAGAAAGGGTGAGTGTAAAGACATGAGCGTTGAGTGGATGGCCAGACAGAGGGAAGAGCCACGGGTGGTCGCGGGTGAAGGCCACAGGGGGCAGCCCTGCCCTGCTCAGAGCCTCGGGAGCCACAGCCTTCCTGGGCTTCTGGCCAGATTCTCGCACCACAGCTTCCCATGGCCCGCAGTGCTCACCGAACCTGCTTCTGCCTTTCCGTCTCTGTCATTCTAACTTGTTTCACCATGAACAAAAGTCCTTAACCAGAACAACAGGCACTATGATACTCTGGCAACTGGAATAATTTATTTTCACCGCTTCTATATGTTCCATTCCTTCAAGCAGTTCCCGCGATATGTAAGTATCAGAATTGGGCTGAAATTCTCTGTCACGTTGTTACTAATGTAAGGTTCCGTGTACTGGTGGACTCTCTTCTTTAACCTGTTTTTCGGGAAGTATTTACTTTTTTCTGGTACGTTCTTTATATATATATAACCAGAACCAAGTCTAAGGGGTATTTTTTTCCCCAGAAGCTCTCCGTGGGGGAGGAAGTCAGCTGGGGCCCCTGCCACTCACGGGAGAGAGGCGCATGTGGGCAGCGGCGTGGGGGGCGTCCTCTGCACTGTGGGCACGTTCTTCCTGTTTAGAGATTCGTCAGCTTTAAGCTCGCACTGTGAAAAGAATTCTTTTTCTGACTCTCATCCTCCCTGACATCTGCTTTGCTCATCTGCCACCTTCTCCAGAAACTTCAATCACAGACACTTGGTGGCGCCTGAGTGGAGGACACAGTGCCTGTAAAATCACCCTCGGGCTTCGGAGAGCCCGTTCCTGGGGGCGGCCAGGCTCCGGGCCTCTCTCTCTGAGCCCGGTGACCATGTCGGGAACATTGTGTCTCCGTTCCAGGTGACAGGAGCTTGTTGCCTCTTTCTGGCTGGGAAAGTTGAAGAAACGCCAAAAAAATGTAAAGATATCATCAAAACAGCTCGCAGTCTATTAAATGATGTGCAGTTTGGCCAGTTTGGAGATGACCCAAAGGTAAGAGTCAACTTCGGTTTGTTTGGGGGTGTGGCTGTTGGGTTTTTCTTGGTTGAGCCACACCCAGTGGGGCTGGGTGACCATGGGGTGCCGGGTTCAGACCCACAGCTTGTCCCTGCACAGCCTGTGCTCAGCCTTCAAGCCATCTGTCAGCAAGTCGTCTTCCTGCCAGCCCCTGACCCCCTGAAGGGCCTCCAAGAGGAGAGGGATGGGGTGCAGCCTGCTTCGGGCCCTGCTGTGGGCTGAGCACTCAGAGATGATAGGACTCGCGCGGGGCTGCAGGCCTGTCCGAGCGGACCACCACTTCCCGCGCGCCGTGTGCCAGGGCATGGCAGGGGATCATGATACTTCAGTTGCTTTCAGACACTCAGAAATTGATGTTACGGGGCCGGAGCGATAGTACAACAGGGAGGGCATTTACCTTGTACACGGCCGACCCGGGTTCAATCCCTGGCTTCCCATAGGGTCCCCCAAGTACCACCAGGAGTAATTCCTGAGTGCAGAGCCAGGAGTAACCCCTGAGCACCGCCAGCTATAACCCAAAAAGCAAAAAAATAAACAGAAATCGTTATGACAGACAAGAACAGGTGGAGGGAAGCTAACCTCAGGTCCCTAAAGGGTGTTCTGAGGACATAATAAAAGCACCAAGCAATTATTTTAACCCCTTTCCTGATTCTGGTGGGACAGTTAGGAAGGGACAAATGATCTACCATCGATTTCTGAGTGTCTGAAAGCAGCTAGTCTCATGAAGCCACGGTCTTGTCCTTTTGCCCCTCCCCTAGTAGAGTGTCTGGGCAGAGCGTCCTTTGACAAGTACTTGTTGACTCCAGACAAACTCCTTCTGTGGGGAGGAACCTGGGTTCATGGTGGGCGCAGCACCCGGCAGGCCTGGCCGCTTGTCCCTCACTAGCTGCTGTTTCCTGCTCAGTTTGCCCTCTCCCCCCAAGACCCATGTCTGTTCCCTATACTCCGGGGAGCCTCCAGACACCCAGACGCATTTGCGTTTCCTGGTGTCGTGGTTGACACTACTCGTCTGGACAATTGTCACCGTGTCAGCTCTGTCTCTTGGACTTGACCACACGGGTTTGCCTCCGCGCCTTCCGAGAGTGGCATGTTCCTATGTGGTGTGATTTGGCAGGTGACTGCTTAGTTCTGGAAGTGCTTACAGACATAATGGTAATAGCAGTCCCAGATCCTAAAGAAAGTTGATGGGGGAGTTTCTAACTCCATGCACCTGCATGTATAAATGTGGAAACCTATCAGAATCCAGAAGACCAGGTCACGTGTTGCCTCACAGTGGCGTGCATGCACCTCGCTGTGTGGCACCACTTGGAGACCATTGACCTCGCCACACTGCTGTTCTGCATCGAGCACGTCGGTGACGGTGGCCACTTCCGGTCCTGTGATTCTTGAAAGAATCCAGGTTGGAGCCCAATCCTCTTAGCTCTGGACACTGCGTGAAGGATTGACCGTGTAGACCAATCCTGATCCCTGCAGAGTAGGGAGATAGTCATGAAAGGGTCACACTGCCACCATGTCTTAGTCACAGGTCACAGTGGACCTTGTGACCCATTTGCTGCTGGACCCCACTAGGCATGGCACACTGCGCCCCACCCTGCCTCGCTCTTTTGTACATCTCTTCTGCAATGATCTGGGCAGTCGACACTGGCCCCGGCACAGAGCAGGGGCTGATGCCTGAAAAGGCTGTCGGGGCAGCTCGGAAACAGAGGCTCGGGATCACCGAATCATGGCACCCATGTGTGCCAGGCTCGGACCCTCTGCTCCCCCTTAGAGTACTCTCACCAGCATCAGCTCTTCACTTGGGTGACTGCGTGTGGCCCAGTGGTGAAGCGCCCTGACTGGCGTGCCCACAGCTCCGGGGTCAGAACAATCAGCCTGGGAACAGAGTGGGCAGGGCCGGGAACAGAGTGGGCAGGGCCGAGGGGAGCCAGGAGAGATGTGGGCCCCAGACCTATAATTATCCCAGGCAGGGAGTATTGTCACGGCCAGAGAAGGCAGCCTTGGGCTGTCTCGTAACAGGATCTGGGCTCCAGCCTGGATTGTTTCAAGTTAAAGTTTCAGGGAAACAGGTGGTGACAAAAGCAGGAGGGAGGGAATGCTTGCAGGATACTGATGGAAGCTTTGTCAGAGTCTCGAAATTCTTCAGTGCATTTCTGAAAAAACGTGGGAAAAAAACAGGTGAAAAAGTCTTTGTCTTCCTGTGCCTGTGGAGTCTCTGTGGCCATGAAACGTGGCATTCTGAAAGCCAGCTCCTCCCGTGTCTTCCTCCCCAGAGCCGCTGGGCTAGTGAACCACTGGTTGTCTGTTCCCATTCTCTGCGACATCCTTTCTCTGTTGCAGCAGGTGACTCTCTCACTGTGTCTTCCTGTATCTTGCTGGTCACTGTGGTCTGGACAGAGGTTGAATTCAAGAACCTAGTGTGTATGGGTACTAACTAGGTACAAAGACTGTCATTCGTTGTGGCAAGTCTCCAGGAATAAAGCTTACAAGAAATTTTAGAAACCTTGTTGGGATGTGTGGTGGAGAGGAATAAGTTCCCAGATAGCAATTTTAAGTGATGTTTATCACTGTCACTGTCCTCCCGTTGTTCATCGATTTGCTCGAGTGGGCCCAGTAACGTCTCCATCATGAGACGTGTTGTTGTTGTGTTTGGCATATTGAATACGTCACGGGTAGCTTGCCAGGCTCTGCCGTGCGGGCGAGATACTCTCGGTAGCTTGCCGGGCTCTCCGAGAGGGGCGGAGGAATCGAACTCGGGTCGGCCGTGTTGGCTGCGTGCAAGGCAAACGCTCTACCGCTGTGCTATCGCTCCAGCCCGGTGGAGAGGAAAGGAAGTTAAAATTGTTCCAGAGTAAAAGATTTGAATAACTAGCTGGGGGTCGAGGGAGCAGCAGTGGTTTGGGGCCCTTTACTGCAGTTCCTTGTCGGGGGTCCCAGAGCTCTGGCAGCACCAAAGGAGGTGTGGGGGCGAGCCTATAGAGAAGCACCCCCACCCTCCAAACCCCCCTTGCCTTTCCCCATTCTCCTTTACAGCAGGACCCCCAGGCATAGCGCGGGCGGGTGGCCGTGCCAGAGGTGCGCCCAATCCTGCCTCCTGGTTGTCTTATGGTGCCGAGTACCCTGCCCAGGCCTCCCACATGGGAAGGATGTGACTTGCCTTTTGAAGCGCTCTCCCTGGCTTGCGGGGTTGGTCTTGGGGGTTATTTTGACTTGGTCTTTTAGGGGGTTGGGGGGTGAGCCACACTTGGCCATGCTCAGGGCTTACTCCTGGCTCTGAGCTCAGGAATGATTCCTGGCAGGGCGCAGGGGACCTTATGGGATGCCAGCAATGGAACCCACATTGGCCAAGTGGAAGGCAGACACCCCACCCATTGTCTTTTTTTTTTTTTCTTGTGCTGGGGATTGAATCCAGGCCTTTATAGATAGAGACATCTTCTATGGGCTCTATCCGCAGCCAAAAGAATTCACGGTAGGGAAATTTTAGCCTTTAAGGGTTTCGAGTCTTTAAAGCATTTCCTGTCGACAGTTCCATAAATTCAGTGATTTCCCAGTTAGAACACCAGTAACTTTGATTCTCTGTAGAATGGGGGGGAGCGGGGGAGGAATGTACTGAAACAAACTTAAAAAAAAAAACTAATCATTAACTCTCCCTGGTTTAGAAGGAGAGGAAAAAACAGAAAATAGTTGGTATGCACGTGGTTCTGCCTAGTTTATAAATGGTCGGGTTAGGAAAGAAGTTCTTGGATTCATCTCTAAATGACATTGGGGTTACTTACTCCAGCTTGAGGGGCCCCTGCAGGTGGGTCTTTTTCACGTATGTGGTATAAATATCTGTCTTGTCTGGCACTGGGGACTGTCCATGGACTGACAGCCGTTCTCATCCTCTCGTTAGACCTTTAAGTTTTCCATAAAAATTCCCAAAGAGTCACTGAGTTTTCAAAAACTGGAGCTCAGTTCAATTGTAACAGGAAGTGTATTTCGTAAAAGGGGGTCACATACTGGAAGGAGTGAGCTTCCAAGAATGTTTATTTTGTTTCCAGTCCTTTAAAAATTGCCTCTGGTGGAGTTCATGCACAATTCAGTCAGCCTAATCAGTGGCTGAATAAATAGCAGTAGCCCTACATAAAAAAAACAAAAAATAAAAAATTCGCCTCTGCCTGGTCTCTCATCTGAGTTCTTCCCAGAAGTGAGCGCTTTTCCCTTCATCTGAGCGGGCTGGAATTCCGAGGGCAGAGAAGAGCACGGCGCCAGGGAGAGCTGCTGGCTGGGGCAGCCCGTCAGACCCTGCCCTGCTGTGGCCACCCCATCACATGGTTTCTGTTTTCAGGAGGAAGTAATGGTTCTGGAGAGGATACTGCTGCAGACCATCAAGTTTGATTTACAGGTAGAGCATCCGTACCAGTTCCTGCTCAAGTATGCAAAGCAACTCAAAGGTAAGAAAACGTTTATTAAAAAAACTGTTTGCTCTGGAACCAAGTCTTTAGAGTGATGTGCAGTTACCTCTGCAATGAGGCCAATGGTCCGCGTTTGCAGTGTCCGGGCCACAGCTTGCCTGGAAGCAGTCCACTGGAGCCCTTCATACTCCTCCCTCTTACGACGTCCGGTGTCCAAGTGACAGGATGCAGGGAATGAGTCAGGGTTTTTTGAATACCCCAATAAAATGTGCCTGGAGCCAGGCCTGCCGGAAGTGGTGGCTCCGCAGGGGTCATGTGGAAGGAGAGGGCGCCGTGGGGCTGGGCCGCCGCCCTCCTTCTCAGCAGAGCTCCGTAGGAGACCTGGCATGGTGCTCAGCAGCCTCGGGCCCACTGGCGGGGACACTGGGCGCTTCTTGGGCCCCTTTTTGATTCCTCTGTCATTGCTAACCTGCCTACCCCCCTCAATTCTAGGCGATAAAAACAAAATTCAGAAGTTGGTTCAAATGGCGTGGACTTTTGTGAATGACAGGTATGCTGGTTGGAGTGTCGGTTTCATGGGGGGACTCTGCTGTGTGGGCTCTCAGGTCCACACTCTGGTCTGTGTGGACTCCAAGCGGGTAACTGGAGCAGAACGGGCACCCGGTGCCCTCAGGCCTCCTGTGGTGCTGTGGGAGACTGACGGCTCCTCCCCAGTGACCAGAAACCCAAAGCAGGATGCTGGGGGGGGGGGGGGGGTTGGACCATTTGCTTTTGGGGAGAATGTGCAAGGGCTGGAACATGAGCTCTGCATGGGGGAGCCGAGGGCCACTCCCAGCACCCTTTGGACCCTCGAGCACCCCCCCCCCCCCCCAAATCAAAGCTTCTAAATTGCAACCTGAAATAGAATCTTTTTGAATCTTCCCTGTAATGGCCCGAGGCCTAGTGACTCTCGGGGACAGCAGGGTGTCTTGTCCCTGCCCCTGTTGGGGCAGGACAGCGCAGAGGCTGTGAGGGGCCGTCTGAAGAGCACGGGTGTTCACATTGGTCCCTGCTGGGGTTCCTGGCCTCCAGGGGCAGGCAGAGAAGTGACCAGGCTGACACGACAGACCCCACCACCTCACAAAGCCTGAGCACTTGCCTCCTGTGGGGAGCACTTTTGGGGAGTCCGCCCCCTGCCCCGTCAGTCCCACCTGCTTCCTGCCGGTGGTGTTGGCGCAGGCATGTCATGTCCCTGTCTCTCGTGGGTGCAGTCTCTGCACGACGCTGTCACTGCAATGGGAGCCCGAGATCATCGCCGTGGCCGTGATGTACCTCGCGGGGCGTCTGTGCAAGTTCGAGATTCAGGAGTGGACCTCCAAGCCCATGTACCGCAGATGGTGGGAGCAGTTCGTGCAGGACGTCCCTGTAGACGTTCTGGAAGGTACCCGCCCTGCTCTGCTCATTCTTCCCGGGGAGTGGCCGCATGGACCCCGCAACTTGGCGTGTCTGCCCACGCAGCGGGGCGGGGCGCGAGGTGGTGCCGTCACAGGTCCACATGGGGGGATGGTGGTTTCCCCGGGAATTCTCACTGGGAATAGTCGGACTCAGCGTGCCGTTTTCTCTCGCACAGACATCTGCCACCAGATCCTGGACCTGTACTCGCAGGGCAAGCAGCAGATGCCCCATCACACCCCGCACCAGCTGCAGCAGCCCCCGTCCCTCCAGGCCACACCGCAAGTGCCGCCGGTGTCCCAGCCCCAGCCCTCGCAGGGCACCGAGCCGCCCCAGCCCCCACAGAAGGACCCGCCGCCCGCGGCCCCACCACAGCCGCCGCCTCCACCACCGGCTCAGCCGCCTAAGAAACCATCCCCGCAGCCGAGCCCACCCCGGCAAGCCAAGCGGGCTGTGGTGAGTCGGGGGGCGTGGGTTGGGGGTGCCGCACCACAGCAGGGCTGGCCCACCTGACCTCACCCTGTGATGCATGTCCCAGCGAGCCCCAGAGTAGCATGGTCAGGCGCGGGGCTCTGTCCTCAGCTAGACCACTACTCAGGGCGCCTCTCGCATGACACCGGGGTGTCCTCTGGCTCGCTGGGTGTTCATGTCTTGTGAGTCACGGGGGTTGAACAGGGGTTCTAGCACATGCACGCATGCACCCCAAACTGTGTCCCCGCCCTGCCCTGCTCTTGGCTTGGGGTTGGTTTCTTGTCTCCCACATAGTGGAATCACAGGGTGTTGGCAGTGTCCAGCTCTGCTGTTGTCAGCGGTGCAGGGACCTGCGTGGGGCGGGTCTCTGGATACCCAGAAGGGGGCCAGCTGGGGAGGCTAGGCCTTGGGGGCCTCTGCGCGTGCTCACAGCCCAGCGATGGCCCCCAGGTCCCCTTCCCCCTCGCTCATGTGTCGGATGATAGCACAGCGGGTAGGGCGTTCGCCTTACAAGCGGCCAACATGGCCGACCCGAGTTCGATTCCTCCGCCCCTCTCGGAGAGCCCGGCAAGCTACCGAGAGTATTCGATATGCCAGACACAGTAACAACAAAGTCTCCAATGGAGATGTTACTGGGCCCGCTCGAGCAAATCGACGATCAACGGGAGGGCCTTTACCTTTACCTAGTGTGAGGGGCGAGCTCAGCATGATTTGCGGTTCCCTAGAAGAGGCACTGGGTGTTCAGTGCCTTATGGGACACAGAGCATGGGGAAGACAGGGACGGGGCTGGGGCCCGGCCCAAGCACTTAACCCGAGGCCCGGGATTCCAGCCCCAGCCATGGCACTGCCCCATACTTGGCCCAGAAACTGCCCACGTGTGTGGGTTCCATCAGGGTCCCAAGGGCATGTTTGGGGGCTGCCCGGGCCGTCCGCTTTCCCCTCTGGCCAAGGTCCGGACTAACTCCGTGTTCTCTTGTGACAGGTGGTCTCGCCCAAAGAAGAGAGCAAAGCTGCAGGTACTTCCCGTCCGGGTCTGGGTCTGTCCAGCCGCCTTCTCTCAGCTGGGTCTGCAGGACACTCAGCTGCTGCCCAGCTGGCCGCGGCCATTCTGTCCTTTGACTCCGTCCCACAGGCTCTGACCAAAGCGGGCGTCCAGACAATGCGGTTGGGGACTGCTGTGCGGGCTTAGTGGGGTGCGGGGTGCGGCCTGGGCACCCCATCCTCCACGCCACCCCCGGGATTATCGGTTCAACATCCCTACCTTCCTCCCAACCCCCCGTCTCAGTCCCTTCTGTTCTCTTCGCTTCTCACATCCCTCTGGGGCCCCTTCAACTCTCTGGGCTCAGGGGACCTGTATGGCCCCTGGTTAAGAACTGCTGATCTGGACAGTCTGAACCTAAGGGGCGTGGGGAGCCCCAGCAGAGACCGAGCCAGTTCCCGGGGCGGGGGGGAGGGGGGAGGGCAGCAGGCAGCGGAGAGAAGATCTGAGTCCACGGAGGTTGGCAGGGGTATTTGGCCTCCGGGAACCGGAGGGCGGGGCCCTGGGCTGGGCCACACTGGGGACAGAGGGACCCACGGCTGTACACTGCTGCCAGCGTGCTGGAGTAGACAGGCGAGTCCGAGGTTCGAGGAGAAGCTAGTGAAAGGGAGCGTCCCGTGTCTGCCCCAGAGCCCCACTGCCGTGCTTGCTGCCAGTGTGGGACCAAGTGTGTGGGGTGGGGGCGGGGCGGGGGTGCTGAGGTGGAGGCTGTTTGTTCCCTGTCTGGCCCGGCCCCAGCTCCATGGTGGTTTGCGGGAACTGGGGTCAGCGCGAAGGTGGGCTGAGCGCAGAGGCCGGGGGGCGTGAGCTCGCTTGCGCTGCTTCCTTTTGGGACAGGTGACATGGCTTGGCCACGCGGGACGAGACACTGTCCCCAGCAGCCTTGCCTCCTGCGCAGGCATCTGGTCACGGCTGATTCACGGGCAGGTGACGTTTCCTCTCCTTTTTCTTTTCAGAACCGCCACCACCTAAGATCCCTAAACTGGAGCCCACTCACCCACCGCTGCCCCCGGCCCACCCGCCTCCAGGTAAGTGTGCACGGCGGGGAGGTGGCAACTCGCTCGTGCCTTTGTGGGGGTCATTTGGACTGTCCCAGGGTTAGTCTGTGGAAAGGCGGTTCTGATGCCAAAGGTTAAGTTGAGGCGCTCGCAAACATTTTGTCTTCCACAAACCCAAACACGTTGGACATGTTGTGAGCTCAGAGTCGGCCGGAGTATTCTGACCCGCAGAATATTCTGGAAACGACTCACCCTGTCTGGGCACCGATGCAGGCAGTGCCGCCAGCCCTGCAGGGACTCCCTGGGGCTGTGTGCGGGAGACCAAGAGAAGGAGCCCAGGCCAGCCCCGTAGCACTGCACGTTCGAATGCCCGCGACGTGACAGGATGTGCCTCCCCTCCCCCTCTCCAGACCGGAAGGCCCCGCTGGCTGCTGCGATGGGCGAGGCCGAGCCGCCCGGCCCCGTGGACACCGGCGACCTGCCCAAAGTCCAGATTCCTCCCCCAGCCCACCCGGCGCCTGTGCACCAGCCCCCGCCGCTGCCGCACCGGCCCCCGCCACCGCCGCCGTCCAGCTACATCACGGGGATGTCCACCACCAGCTCGTACATGTCAGGGGAGGGCTACCAGAACCTGCAGTCCATGATGAAGCCCGAGGCCCCCTCCTATGGGGCGCTGCCCCCCACCTACCTCCCCTACCACCCCCATGTGTATCCCCCAAACCCACCCCCGCCGCCTGTGCCCCCGCCCCCCACCTCCTTCCCCCCGCCCACCATTCCCCCTCCTACTCCCGGCTACCCCCCGCCACCCCCCACCTATAACCCCAACTTCCCACCCCCACCCCCACGCCTGCCCCCAACGCACACGGTGCCCCCGCACCCTCCTCCAGGCCTGGGCCTGCCACCTGCTAGCTACCCGCCTCCGGCCGTGCCCCCAGGAGGACAGCCCCCCGTGCCGCCCCCCATCCCTCCCCCCGGCATGCCACCGGTGGGGGGCCTGGGGCGGGCCGCGTGGATGAGGTAACCAGCGCCTCTTGCTTTGTTTCCTATCAACTTGAAGAGGGGTTGTGGGAGGCAGCCGGGAACCTCGCGTGGCGCCAGGCCCGTGGGGTCATCCCTGCAGGGAGGGGGGGGCCGCCGTGACCAGCGGCCTCCTGTGTCCCACACTGGGTCACTTCACTTGTGACACTTAACCAGCCACATTGGCTCAGCGAACAGCTTCCAGAAGGAGTGCGTCTCCCTCCAGTCCGTGCCTAGCTCTCCTGGAAACTCGTTTTTGGATACCCCCGTCCGTCCGAAGTCTGCTGCCACGGCTTCCGTCGCGGCCAGCGTTCTCCCCATGCACCCCGAGGTCAGAGGGACCTCACCTTTGGTTTAGGTATTTGCATCCTTTGTCCTGCATTGTTTGAGGGGGGAATTGTACTCGGAAAGTAGTCTGTTTACATCGATTTGCAGATCCCTGTACGCAGAGATATATTTTTTAAGTGTGAATGTAACAGCATACTGTGAATTCCATCTTGGTTACAAACGAGACCCCTTCGGTTATCCAATAAAAGTCTGTTCGAAAAGTCGGTCCTGCTGAGTGTTGGGGGGAGAGGGGCCCTCCCAGGCAGGCCGTGAGGGCCCAAAGTTCACCCCCCTCTGCTCCCAGCCGGGGGCCCACAAGCAGACCAGCCTTAGGAGGAGCAGCTCACGACGACGCCCACTGAGCCCCCGATGCCGAGGGCCCCCCTCTGCCCAGCGGCCGCACCCTGAGAAAGACAAGCAGTGGGCACTGGCCAGCCAGCAGGCTTGCGAAGAGCCTTTATTTATCTAGCACAAAGTAGACGCTATCACAGTCTCTGACTCCTTACTAAAATAGTTCAGATCAATGCTTTTACCACACTATCAAAAAGTTCTATTTCTTTTTTTTCTCTCCCCCAAATCAAAGTGGTTCAACAGAAGGTAGAAATGGGCCCGGGGCTGCCCGGCTGCCAGTGCTGCCCAGAAGCGGGCAGGGGGCGGCTCTGTCCCCGGTCACAGTCGACAGAAACGAGCACAGGCTGCGGCCCGGGCAGGAACCAGCCGTTCCGCCCCTCAGAGCAGCACGCGCACCCCGCACCCCGGCCGAGTCAGCTCACGGCTTCCTGCCCTAGCTCGGTCCTCGGGAGACAAAAACTCAGTAGTATTTCATTTGCGCTCAAGTTTGCAAGGAAAAAAAGAATGAAAGGTCACTTTCTCCTCTTTAAACACTGATGTGTAGTTCGAAGTTTTGGATGAAAAGGTTGGAAACGGTTGAGCCGCTTCCAAGGCCCGCGGGGGACGCTGTCACAGTGGGAGTGAAGACAGGCCGGGGAAGGGACGGGCGCTGAGCAGGGGCGTCCAGCCTGCCGGCCATCGAAGTAGGGCCAGGCACAGGGCCTGCGCGGGCTGGAGGGACCGTCCCACCCGACTCCCTGGGGGCTGCAGGGGCCCGCGGGGCGCCCTCTGAGCTGAGGCAGGAGGCCAGGGAGCCCTTATTGCTTGCCTCTGGGCGGCCACGCCGCAGCCTCCACAGGCTGGGAGGGGAGGGGACGCCCTTTCCTGCAAGAGGCCCGGTGGGCGGCGCGGGGAAGCCCACCAGGCTCTCTGGGGAGACAGCATCCCCTCGAGGGCAGTGCCCAGGGGCGCCCGGCCCAGCAGGCGTGGAACAGAGTCACGGCCCTGCAGACAGCCTTGGACCGGAATGGAGGTGCTGAGCTCCTGGGGTGTCAGGGCGCAGAGTGGGGCGCCCCGCTGGGCCCCGGCCTCGCGCACTGAAGGGGTGACACACGGCCGCCCTACACTGCAGGCCTCTGCTCAGGACCGAGAGGGCATGGCCCACTGTGCCCAGAAGGCAGGACTCAGCTGAGCGTAAACCCAGGGTCCCACCCTGTGAGCACGGCTGAGCGCGAGGAAGCCCATACGGGCCGAGTGCAGGCTGGAGGTCACACGGCACGAGAAAGGCAGAGCCGGGCGGGCTCCTCGGAGGAGGCAGACCCCGTCACCCCGCCACAAGGCTCTGTCCACAGTGACGGCCGGGTGGGTCCCCCTCCAGGGACCAGACACCCCAGCACTTGCCGGCAGGTCGAGGGGACCCCGCAGGTGTAGGTGGGGCCGGTGGGCAGACTGGACCGCTTGCCCCGGCCCGTCCGTCTTCTGTACAGGTCACGGGAGAGGGACGCGCCCCGGGCCCGGGGCCTGGCGGGCACCAAGGGGCTACAAGGGGCCCTTGAACTGGTTCCCAGACAGGTGCTGCCGGATGGACGGCTTCGAACTGGCGGCGTCCCCCAGCTTCCTCCAGACCACCTGGGGGGATGGGACGGTGAGGGCAGGGCCCCTGTGCACACACACACCCCCACCCACCAGACCACGGGGGGGAGGGGGGGGGCAGGACAGTGAGGGGAGGCCCCGCACACCCCCCACCCACCAGACCACCAGGGGGCGACAGGACGGTGAGGGTGGGCCCCGCACCCCCCGCCCACCAGCCCCCACGGGCTCACGTTGCACATCTCGCGCACGATGGCCTTCTCCTTCTCGCTCAAGTCCTCCTCACACGGGTGCAGCTGCCGGTCCAGGTTCTCGTGCACCTCCAGCACCTGCGGCAGGGGCGGCTCAGAGGGGGGAACTCCACCCGCCCCGGCACCCCGGGACGGTGGGGGGCAGCGGGCTCCCGCCCGGGGCCACCGCCACCTGGAACAAACAGGCTGGGCAGGAGGAGCAGGGAGGAGGCGGCTGCATGGGGGGAGGTCAGTGAGGGTCGTGGGAACGCTGAGGGCTAGCCCCCTCTTGGGCTGCCCCGGACAGGAACCCGGGGTGCCGGGCAGGCGCATGCTGCCCCAGAGACCGCAGCCGCCAGGCCAGTGTCCAGCCCAGCCTGTGCCCGGCCCCGTGCGGGAAGACCTGCGCTTTCTTCTGTGGGTGCTCTGCAGGTGAACCCCGTTCCCACCGCCCAGCCCAAGGGACGGATGGGGCCCAGGGGGGGCAGGGGGGGCCAGGGGTCAGGGTGGGGGCTGGGCTGGGGGTCGGGGGCACTCACCTTCATGGCGTTCACAACAGCCTCGGGTTTCCGGCCCACTGAGCTGGCGGAAGGAGGCGAGGGCAGCTCGGAGACCCCATAGGCTGGGCCCTGGGGAGGAGCCTCAGGTCAGAGGGGCCGAGATGGGGGGGTGGAACCCTGGAAGGGGGCAGCCCCTCAGCCCCCACTCCTGCCCCTCGACCCTCCCCACGGGTCCCCGCGGGGTCTGCAGGGCCCCCAACTTCTCCCTCTGGGGCAGGGGTCGGGGGAGGCGGCTAGGCTTCTTCCCAGGGCAGGGTGAGGGGGACCGCGGGAGGTTTCTGCGGCGTTTGTGGGGCCCAGGGAAGACTCCCTGCGAGCCCGCAGTGGGCAGAGCTGGGCCCTGTCCCAGGCTCGTCTTAAACTCTCAACTCCCTAATCCCGTGGGCTCAGGCCAGCTGCAGGGACATCGAGGCCATCACCAGAGCTCCGGGACCCCAACCCCAGCCTGACCCTCCACAAACCCCACAGCCTCGGGCGGTTGTGTTGTCACCCCCCACAAACACACCCCCAGAGCCCTGGGCAAGCTGTGGAATAGTGTCAAGTGGGGTAGCCACTCCCAGAGAGAGGGGCCTGGGGCGAAGGCAGAAAAAGGAGGGCGCAACAGGAGGCAGGCTGCACTGCCCACGTGACCAGCAGGGGGCGAGAGCTGCCCAAGTCTGGCCCTGGGAGGCCTTGGCCTGGCACCTCTGTCCTCATCTACGGACTGAGCCTGCCCGGGGTGGGGGGCCACTCCAGTGAGACCTGGGCAGTGGCCAGGCAGGTCCACTGTGCAGCCCGCACACCCTGAAATGGGGAGTTGGGGGCAGGGTGTAGGCCTGCTTCCTACCTGCCCCCCCGTGAGTGTCCAGCCTCAGGGCTAGGCCACCCCAGCCCCACTGACCCTAAGATCAAGGTCAGGCTGTACGTGCCAAGACTCAGGGCTCGAGCCCTCTGCGTGCTCCCCAGAGCTGCAGACTCTGAGGTGCCAGGAGTGCTGGGGCACCCCCCCCCCCAACCACGTCTACGCGAGGCAGAGCCACGGAAACACCATGGACAGGGCGAGACCACGCTGGACACGCCCACACCCCGAAGGGGGCACGGGAGGTGCCAAGGGCCACATGAGCCACAAGAATGCCCATGTGGGGGCTGGAGTGATAGCACAGCGGGTAGGGCGTTTGCCTTGCACGCGGCAGACCCGGGTTCGATTCCCAGCATCCCATAGGGTCCCCCGAGCACTGCCAGGAGCTAATTCCTGAGTGCATGAGCCAGGAGTGACCCCTGTGCATCGCTGAGTGTGACCCAAAAAGAAAAAATAAAAACAAAGAATGCCCATGTGACACCCCCCCCCCCCCACGGCAGAAAGAAGATTCGTGGGGGCGTGGGTTCTAGGAGGAATGGCACGGGAAGTCCATGCTATGTGGGCACCCCACGCACACAGCGGCTCAACTCCTGACAGGACTCGGGAGACCATGCGGAGTGGGGAATGGGACCCAAACCCACTGCAGCCCGAGGAAACTTCTAGAAGAGCATCCAGGCACGTCGGAGCTCCCAAGGGCCCTCCTGCCCAATCACAGGCTCCCCTGGGCCCCCTGGAGGAGTGTCCAGCCTCGAGCCTGGAGCCCCCTGCATCTTGGTCACGTATAGCCTGACCTTGTTCTCAGGGTCCAGGGGGTTGGGGGTGGGGCGGCCTAGCCCCAGGGGTGGACACTCCTCCTCAGAAACACTCCACACTGCCCTGCCCCAACCCAGCCTCCCCTGCCTGGGCCCTGCGCCCTGCAGCTGGCCCCCAGCCCAGGCCACCCCCCGCGTGCCCGGTACAGTGTGAGCTGGGGGCAGCCCCCCCTTCCTGAACAGCTCCCCCACCCTCTGCCCATCCCAGGGGTCAGCTGCTGCAGGCTCCTGTTGTGGGGGGACAGTCCTTGCTGCACTGCACGGAGTGGACGCTCCACAGAGCAGGTGGACACAGGCATCCTTACCTCCTCCGTACCGGGGCCATGCCCGGGCACCCTCGCCTCCTGCCTTGGCTGCCACCCTCCCTGGACCTGGCAGCGGGTGGGCAGTGGGCAAGGTCCGGGTCCCGCTAGATCCGGGGCCCCCACGAGGGGCGGGGGTGGGGGGCACTCACGTTCTGCAGGGGGTCGGCATAGGGCTGCTGCAGGGCGGCGAGCTGGGACTCCGAGTGGTACAGGGAGAAGCCTTTCCGCAGCGTGCGGTACTCTCCGGGGCCAGCCTGCTGCGGGGGGGGCGGGGGTCAGCACCCAACAACCCAGCGGTCGCCCCCATACCTGTTGACCCCCCAAGTCCAGGCCAGGACCATGGACGCATCACTGCAGCTGTGTGAGGGGCCCATGTCGCAGGGGGATGCCCATGGGCGGCACCTCTCGGGACACGCCGCTCCGCTCACGGGCAGGGAGCCCCCAGCGTGGGCCCCAGGACACGGACCCCATGAGCGCAGAGCTGCTGGGAGGTGTGTGTGCGTGCATGTGTGCGTACGCGAGTGAATGAGTGAGTGACGTAGCAGCTCACACAGCCGGCCTGAGGGGGCTCCCCCAGATCTGGGGCCCAGTGACCAGAGGCTTCAGGGTCACGGCAGAGTGATGGCTTCGGGGGGGGGGGGTCTCTGCTGTCTGGCCCAAACACTTTCTCCTCTGCAAGAATCAAGGGGCGTGGCCGGGCCCATCAGGGGCCACATGGGCTGATCCCCTCAGCCCCCCTAGGCCCCGGGGCGCCCCATTTCAGCCCCTGCCCCTCGTCTCTGAGGTCTGCTCTCTGGGGCATGAACAGGAGCTTCCCTGCCCTAGGACGGGATCCCCCCGCAACCATGTCATGGCTTCAAAGGACCAAGCAGGAGCAGGAAGGGGGTGTGGGTTCCCTGTTCCCGGGTGGCTGCGGCACCCGGGGTCACCCAGGGGTTCTAATGGGCCCGTAACCTCACAACGAACCCCGACCAGCTGGAGCACGGGCACTGTAGGGTGAGTCATCCCAGGCGGGTCCCACCTGCTGGGTACACGTGGAGGCTCTGCAGGAGAGACGCCACCCGGGAACCCTCACCAGGACACCTGCCACCTGTCATGGCCCCAGGTCACCTCCAGCTCCATTCCAAGACCCCAAATTTCAAATCACTTCCCGTGTCTTTGTGACAGCTACAAAACTTTGCCTGGAGGGGGAAGGTTGCACCTCGCCTGAGCACAGACACCCTGACCAGCCCTGCCACGCCCCCCCTCAGGCACCCCGACCAGCCTTGCCGCATCCCCCACGGACACAGGTACACAGTGTACCACAGTGCACACGGATATGCACACAGGGCACATGGTTGCACACATGCACTGAGCAGTGCATGCACTCACAGAGGCATACACACACAGTTGCGCACATGCTCACAGTCACAACCATGCTCACTTGCGGTCATACATGTTCGCGTGCACGTACAGGCATGCACATGCAGTGCACAGGTGCTCACAGGCAGTCATGCTCACACACGCATGTACTGCACGTGTGCTCACACACAGGCACGCAGACACGTGCTCCCATGCACAGTTACAGTGCAAATGGACTCACGCCTACACAGGCATGTGCGCACACACGCACACTCCCCGTCCTCCCGGCCCCCCCAGGGCAGTGGGGCTGAGAGTCGCCTCGGAGGGGGGCTCTTGGGGCTCAGGGGAGCACCCAGACCCCCATCCTGAAACGGCCCAGCAACTGTGCACAAGAACCTCCCAGTAGGTGTCCAGGTAGGGGGGGATCCCCCTGCCCTCCCGCCTGACCCCCCACCAGTTCCGAGCCAGTGGGCTAGAGAAGCGGACTCCACTGACAGTGCCCGGAGCAACCCGTGAGGCTGAGGCCAGAGCCCACCCGGGACAGCCGCCCTTCAACCCTGCTGACAGCACTGCACCCGCCCTGCCCAGCCCCCAACTCGGGCCAGCGGTAGCTTCTGCACCTTGCTGCGGGGGCAGGGCCAGCTACCCGAGGGGCACCCCAAGAGCTGCCCCGCCTGGGGTCACTTCCTCCCAGGGCTCCAAAGATCCAAAGATCCAGGCAGGGGTGAGGTGTGCGTGTGTGTCCGTGTGCCCTTGCAGGAGTGAGGTGTGGTAACCAGGTGCCTATGCAGGAGCTATGCACGTGCAGGGGTGAGGCGTGGATGACTATGTGGCGTGCAGGGGTGAAGTACATCCTCTCAGGCCCCAGGGACAACCCCAGAGCCCTGCCCTCCCCCACAACTCCCTCCCCCTCCCCCGGGACCATAGACTCACATCCCTCATAGAACCCCAACCCAACCCTAAAGCTCACAACTGGCCTTGGGGGGAACAGGGACCCCAGTGAGAACCCATGCAGCGCTGTGGGGACTGCCCAACACACAGGGGTGAGGGGTGGGTGACTGTGTACCCCTGCAGGGGTGAGGAGTGGGGCACTGTGCACATGCAGGGGTGAGGAGTGGGGGGCTGTGTGCACATGCAGGGGTGAAGTGTGGGTGACTGGGCTCGGGAGCAGAGATCCATGCAGGGGTGAGGTGTGTGTGTCTATGTGCCCACGCAGAGGTGAGGTGTGGTAACCAGGTGCCTATGCAGGAGGGGTGAGGTGTGGATGACTATGTGGCATGCAGGGGGTGAGGTGTGTCTGTGCGGGAGTGAGGTGTGGGTGCCCGTGTGACATTGCAGGGGTGAGTTGTGTCTGTGCAGGGGTGAGGTGTGGCTGACCATGTACAGCGTTCCGGGCAGGGATCGGGGGAGTCATCGGGAAGCTGGGGTGGAGCCAAGGAGGGGGCTGACACTAGCCCTGGGGTGCCCGCCCCACCCCGCCCTACCCCACCCACCCGGCACTTACCTGTGGGAGGAGTTTGTCACCCTCCTTCGCTTTGGGCTCCAGCGGCCGCGCGTAGGAGGACGAAGGTTCTGGAAGGAGACGGAGTTGTGAGAGTTGTGCCCATTCTCGGGGGGGAAACTGAGGCTCCCACCCACCCACAGGAGCCAGCATGGGGCATCCCCTGCCAGTTCTTCCCATACCTTACCACAGCACCACCCCCAGAGTGCACGGGCCCATCCGGCACATGGGGGGGGTCCCCGATCACAGAGACCCCCACCTCTGAAGGCACCAGCCGCAACCCCCTTAGACGGTCCGGCCCAGGAGGGGGGAGCGGAGCAGACCCCTTGGGGCAGGGGTGAGGGGTGCAGCGGGAGGCTGGGCTGCTGGGGCCCTAACAGGAAGGGTGTCAGTCCCCGAAATAAAAGTTCTCGAGCAACAGGGGGCTCTCACCAGAACAGGGGGGCCTCGCCCTTCCCCTCCCCCTTCCTGCTCTTCAGCCAGCCTCGGGGGCTGTGGTCCCCCTCAAGGGGGGGAGCTGCTCCCCTCAGGATGAAGCTGGGAACCCCCAGGCACCCCAGGCCAGACCTGCTCCACCCACGGGGTGGCTTGCTCAGCGCACATGACCGGGGACAGAAAGAAGGGCTGGATGGGGCGGGGGCCCCCAGGGTCCACCATGCCGCCAGGAGCCCCGATGGTGCAGATGCCCGCAGTAGCCACATGACGAGGTGTGACGGGAAGGTCTCGGTTCATGCGGGTCCCCGGGGCAGGAGCGAGGGTACGGGCTGAGGCCTCTGTGGCTTGCCCAGGACAGACCGGCCTGTCCCCTGCCTGGACACGGGCACTGCGTGTGCGTGGAACCTGGCCAGGGGGGGGGGGCGGGCTGGTCACCCACAATGCTGATGTGCCCAGCTCACTGCCCACAGCCCGGGCCACCAGGACGGTAACATGAGGCCCAGACACTCCTGAGGGCAGGCGGGGGGTCCCATACTTGTCCAGGCTGTGCCCGAGCCATGGCCAAGGGGGACCCCTCTCCCCCCGACCCCTCTCCCCACAAAGACCCGACACATGGGGCTGGAGTGATAGCACAGCGGGTAGGGCGTTTGCCTTGCACGCGGCCAACCCGGGTTCGATTCCCAGCTTCCCATATGGTCCCCCGAGCACCGCCAGGAGTAATTCCTGAGTGCATGAGCCAGGAGTAACCCCACAGCCCTCCCTGACGATCTCTGCCCGGGGGAGACCAGGACCCCGCCTGGTCCCTCAGTCTGAACCCCCCCAGCCCCATGAAGGGGCACAGGGTCGCACGGAGGGTAAGGGGGTGTCGCCCTGGTCCCTCTTATCACCCAAAAGGACAGCAGGAGAGATTCCCACAGAAGCTCGATGAGTATCACACGCACCAGGCTCGGACCCCCTATCCTCACCTCCAACCACTGGGGGGGGTCTCCTGAATGACACAGTGGGGCCCCCAGGGGCCAGAGCGATCATACAGCGGGGAGGGCATCTGCTCGCACACCACTGACCCGGGTTCCACCCCGGGCATCCCCTCCGGTCCTCGGCACCGCCAGGAGTCACCCTGAGCACCTCCACGTGTGCCCCCCACTCCCTCCAAAAACGGGGGGTCCCCAAGACACAAACCCCCATGCTTTGGGGCACCCCCATTCCAATCTCAGGTGCAGGAGCCAGAAAGCAGCTCGGTGGCACCTGAGCCCACAGCAACGCCCGACCCCCGTTCGCTCGCAGGACTGCCAGGCCCCTCAGCTGCCGCCCCAAGAGGCCCCGGGTCCCCTGAGCACCTTCCGGCGAGTCCCCCTCCTGCCCTCAAGTGTGTGTGAGTGCCTCCGGCAGGGGCGGGGGGGTGGGGGGAAGAGAAGTTTCTGGTGTTCGCACCAGGACTTGGCCCCATTCAGATCTCTCCTGCTGGGAAAGGGGGTGGGGGGGTCCCGCCTTCATAGCAGACACCCCTGGAGGTCCCGGAAGTGCAGCCCCCCTCCCCCTCTAGTCCACGCAGGGACACGCGCCTGCCCAGCAGCCTTCCCACGGGGCTCGCGGGACTGCAGGTTCCTCACGTGGCTGACCCACATCAGGGCTCCAGGGACTGCGTCCTTCCGGAGTTCGCAGCCCAGACAAGGGTAATTAACTGAATTCCCGTCCCAGGGGCGGAGCCGTGCCAAGGGCCTCGGGGAGCAAGCCAGGCCTCATTTCCCAGCAGCTAGGGCGGGTGGGGGGGACCGTGCCAGGGCCTGGCTGGCCCAGGGGTCCCCTCAGGCCCAACTCTCCACCTCCGGGGGTGGAAGGGTTCCTGCCATCAGCCCTCGCTGCCCCCTCCCTGCAGACCCCCACCTTGGGAGCCAGGACCCGGGATTGGACAAGATCTCGGGGCCCGCAGGGCTCAAAGACCTGGCCCCGCTGGGCACTGCCCGGGCACCCTGCCCTCCAGAGGGCGGGTCTGGGGGTGCCCCCTTAGCCGCACACACCATCCAGGGCTGGGACACCGCGGTGGGGGGGGACGGGGGCTCAGCTCGCCAACCGCTGCCCTCCCGGGCTTCCAGGCTTCAGAGCTTCTGGAGAAACCCCAGGGGGACGGCTGCCCCCACCTGCTCGTGCCCAGCCCGGGGCGGCCCATTTCCCGACACCCCGGCCTCTGGAGCTCCCCCTCCCCGGCTCTAGAATCTGTCTGTGGGGCTCCCCCCGCCCACCCACCTCTGCGTATCTGCCAGCAGGGACTGTGGGAGCCCCAGGCAACCCAGGGCTGGACGGGTCACTGGAAGCCAGCAGGAACCGGGGGGACCCCCACTTGGGGAGAGCAGGGCACAGGGGGCGGGCATGGGGAGCACTGCTGGGGGATCCTCGGGGACCCGGACGCACCTCTGGACAGTGGGCTGCAGGAGCGCATAGGGCAGGGGCGGGGACGGGCGGGTGGCAGGGCTGGCGGGCCGTCTTTAGTCTTTAAGGAAGCTCGTCGGGGCAGGGCCGGGTGAGGTCAGTGTTTGGTCGCCAGGGCACAAACGGGCGGGCCGGCTGTTGCCACAGGGAGGGGGTGGGCAGGGCGGGGTGCTGGGAGCCTCCCACAGGTGACAGGGCATGACCGGGCCGGAACTGCCCAGAGCCTGTCTGGGGGCTTGGCAGAGGCCGGCCCAGGGGTGGGTAGGGGCGGGGACACGCGGAGTCACAGGAGGCAGCGCCGACAGCACCCACAGCTGCCTTGAGAGCCCATCCCGGCCCAGGGCTGTACCCACACAGTGGCATGGGGGTGGACGGAGACAGTTGGGGACAAAACTGGGTCTTCATGAGCATATGAGGCCGTGAGCTCTCCCGGGAGCACGGGCACCCTGACACGGCACCAGGGACACGGCACCAGTGACAAGGGCACCCCAACACAGCACCAGGGACACAAGCACCCTGACACGGAACCAGGAACACGGGCACCCTGACACAGATGAGGATTACAGCACACCCTGACACGGTGGACGAGCACCAGCGTGGCCGAGTGCCTGGCCTTGAGGAAATCAGGACCCACAGACCCCAGCACCGAGGGCGACTCTGCACAGGGCCGGGCACTGGCCAGGAAACCACCCCCACACACACACCTGGCTTGACACCACAGGACCCCAGGATGGTTGCACGGTTCTTAGCGTCGCTGGGGAAGGAACGCAGGGCGGACCTGAGGTTCACACGACGGGCAGGAGGGTCAGAAACGGCGTCTGGCGCCCAGGGGAGAAGCCAGACCCGCCTCAAGTGCCAGCTCAAACCCACAGCGTCACCAAGGCCCAGGCAGGGGGGGAGGGGAGTGCTAACTCTGCCCCTCTTCTTCTCCTCTGAAGCTCCTCTAACAAAGGGGGTCCTTGCAACTGGAGCCCAGGAATGAGGGACTGGCGGGACAGGACAGCGTGGAGGGCACTGGCCGTGGACACGCACAGCCGACCCAGGTCCCATCCCCGGCATCACATGGCCCCAAGTCCTGCCAGGAGTGACCCAGGAGGAAGCCCTGAGTGCTGCCGGGTGTGGTCCACAAGCAGAACAAGTGGACGGCATCTGCGTGTCCCCCTGAGTGCCCACCTGCCGACACCCCCACAGGCTGCCCTCTTGACCTGGGCAAGAGCAAGGGTCGCCCCCACACCTGCGGGGCACTCAGAGCCTGGGTTTGACCTCAAGGGGACAGGGCAGGCTGGGAGATCCACGAGGACCCCAGGGCCTCGGGTCCCAGCATGTGATGGAGGTGACCACAGGGCAAGGTCACCTTAAATCATAGGGACCTCGGGGTTATTCAGGGTCCTCGCCACACCCATGGTTGGGCCAATGTGCCCCAGTCACCCCCAGACTCGGGGCAGCTGTCAGAGCCAGGCTATGGAGAGGGGCGGATGGCCCTGGACGCAGAGGTCACTGCAGGAGGCTGCCCAGGAGGGGCGGGCATCCCTGGGGCCCCAGAGGTAGCTCTGGGAAAGGTCACACAGGAGCTGAGAACACGGCCGGCCTGCGGGCCACCGTCACCCCCAAAGCACCACAGGCTTGGACCTACAGGGGCGGGGCTTGGACCTACAAGGTGGGGCTTGGACCTCTAGGGGAGGGGCTTGGACGTACAGGGGTGGGGTTTGGACCTACTGGGGTAGGGCTTGGACCCAGAGGGGCGGGGCTTGGACCTAAGGGGCGGGACTTGGACCTACATGGGTGGGGCTTAAACCTAGAAGGGTGGGACCTGGCACTATGGGGGCGGGGCTTCGACCTAAAGGGGCGGGACTTGGAACTACAGGGATGGGGCTTGGACCTACAGGGGTGGAGGCCTCCAGGTGCCAAGCCATGCCCCAGCTTGTGACCTTCCCCAACCCCTAGCCCACCTGCTGCAGCCCCAGGGGTATCCTGACCCTGTAGCAGGGCCAGAGAGCTGACAGCTGACCTCCAAGGGGTCCAGGACCAGCAGCTGTGTGCCGGCTAGAGGGCATTGTGGGGCCCCAGCAGGGTCCACTCACGTCTTATCTGTGGGCTGGACCCCTGAGCTCTGCACTATAAATGGACAAAGAGGGACAAGGAAGCGGCCCAGGGCGCATGGCCTGACCCCTCAGCCCTCTGCCTCCCACCAGCCCTGACCCCTGCTCCA